AACAATCAGAATAACCACCAGAATATTCGATTCAACAGCTTAAGCTTATTCATAGTAAGTCCTTTCTATATGTTGTCAAGGAATGTAGTAAGCTTGACATATTTACTACAACAGCGTTACTTTTGACCTTATACACGAGATATGCGGTTCTGTTGAAACCCCTATCAAAATTCGACCTTCCATCTCTTCTCCCTCCCCCAAATAGAGTTTGCTACAAAACTTTTATCTCGTAGGGGTTAAGTAGATAACTTTGTAACAATTAGTATCGAAATATGAGACAGTTACTTGTAATTTATTACCGCTGAAGATAGCAAATCAAATTATTCACATTTTATGCTATCAAATTGTAATGAATTGTAACAATTTCTTGTACAGCACTTCCGCCATAAGTAACAAATTTACATTTCAACGGTTAACTAACTATTACTATTGTTTCGAGTCTTTAACTTAACGGTAACTTGCACTTTCTGGTACCATCCATAAACAGGCTAAATTAAACCGAGCCTGCAATATTTTCAATTGTGTCGTTATAGGCGTCCTTTAGATCTAAAGATTCCTTTTTTCTCTACTTTGTTCAAATTCACTTAATTAACTACACGTTTTGTTTACCGAAACATTATTTGAGTATTTATCATGTCTTTTTTGTCATTCTCGTAAAACGGCATTACTTTTGATTCGACAAAATCCCGGCAATATCGCAAAATAAAAGAATGATTATTGATACAATAGAAAACTCCGAAAATAAAGGTACATAATGTTTTCATTAAGACATACAATTCAGCATAAATTTTGTCTTCTATGCTAAATAGCGTATAAATAAATATTACCAGTTCTGTTTATTTCTTTATTTATATCGCTGTTACATAGAGGATTTTTGGTAAGTTCAGTGTAAGATCGGAATATATTTCACCGAGTGAGCACCAAAAGTGAAATGTGAACTTTTGGTGTTCATGAGGTGAAATATATTTCGATCTTACACTAAACTAAACAATTTTTTTATTATATGCAAACAAACGTTAAAAAGGAATTTTTACCTAATACTAAATGAATAGCGCGCCAAATAATTATACAACGTGACGTCATTTACTTCGTCACGTTATTAAGTTGGTTTCCAGTTCTGTGTACGCTGGTATTTCACTTAAACAGCGTAAGGGGCTTAAATTCAAAACAGTGAAATTATCAAATTGATAATTCACTGTTTCAAACAGTGAAATTATCAGTTTTAATTCATGGATATATTTCTATAAACCATCGAAAAGCAGTTCACGATGTCTTAATAATTATAGTAATCGACTTAGAAGCAAGACTTTGCGGTCGGAAAACCGCCGATTTCGTCAAATTATCGAACACACCTATATTAGACCGACTGTGATTATTGATACACAAATGCACAGGGTTTGTCCGCAAACTTTCAAACAAAGACACAGTTTAATATTGTTGTACAAGCTTGCACGGACGACCGTCTCACGCTCAGAAAGTACCTGAAAGCCGCAAGACGGCAATTTTACCACATACCGGACGTGACTACAAGAACTAGATGTATGATGTGGTTTGACTTACTTATAATTGCCTTTGAGAAAATATTTGCTTTTTCCATTTTTTTTAATAATTAACTCTCCCTCTCAGAATTTTTGTTTGCCAGTTTTTTTTGGCGAACATGATTCAAAAGCAGTGTCCATTATTCTGTTTGAAATTATCGCCAGTTGCATCGCACGTGAATGAAAGAGCTTAAAGTAACATTTGTTGTTGTGTTTTTTAATAACATTATTCAATCTGTACATTTAAATAGGAAAATTTGATGAAATTAATTTGAAAGCATCGGAAAATTGAATGCGGCTGAAATTAAAAGATATTTTGTTTCATCTTTAAGAACCTTTTATGTATAATGCGTCAACCAAATAACCATATTTAGAAATGTTATTCAGGTTTGTGGATTTTATTTTAAAAGGACATTAAGGAGTTTTAGCAGGTTTAAAATTCACAGTTTCTCAAGATATGATAGCAGTCACAAAAGAATATCTTAGTCATTAACATAAATGCCTCATCAAAGGTCAGTTAATCTCTGTAAAAACAAATAAATCCTAATCTGTAAAGATCAAATAGGCCATAATAATCATGACAAAAGCATAAAAAGTGTACTTTAGTTTTACAAAGTGCAAAATTAACTCTGCTGACACATCTTCAGGCACATAAATATGCGAACAACATAACGTATTTTATGAGAATTTTAAAATTAAATGTACATGTTTATCATCATTCGTTGCTTTTTATCAAAACAAATGTATCGTTTGTGAACTACACAAAATCATAGCAAAATGACAATATTATGGTAATTAGCTCTAATGTATTGGCTACACATTCAACTCCTCTTCCCCATCCCCCCTAAAAAATATATACAAGTTCGGTGTCCCATTTGGCCCCTTTACAACGTTTCTCTCCCTTGTTGATCATAATATTTATCTGATTTCAACTTTTACATGTAACGACTGTATAATGTATTTGATGAAAACAATTAATGGCTTGTTTGATCTAATTTGTCGGCGTAAGCCGAGCCGAAAAACAACGTTATGATGTCTTATTTTAAATTTGGAATAAGCATTAATTAATTAATTAATTGATTGATTTTTGTATTAACATTAATTAATTTATTTTTTATCAATTTATTTATTTATTTATTTTATTAACATAAAAGTAATTAACAAAGTCGAACGGACAAATATTCTACTGTAGTTTAAGCGTCGGTTGTAAATAAAGCTTGAACCGTATTTGAACAACGCTCGAGTAAGCTTCCTGACTGGTATCATATGAGGAACCCCGTAGTGCTCGAGCCTACAATGTGGTCAAGAGGCAGAAACCTTAACCCCTAGGCCACCGATTTATTGAATTACTTTTTTAACATATTAAAGATCAAACAAAATCTGTCTAACATTTTGCGAACTTAATAATTGTTTGAAATCTTAACTAAGCATTTAAGTCATCGTACGTTATTCTGATTTTAAGGTTATAAATGTGAACCTTCTTAATTAAAATAACGAAATCATTTCCGCCAACGCAAAATAAGTTCTTTTGCGATTTTATTATTTTTTCGCACCATAAAGCAATAATATAATTATAAGAAGGAGATTTATGAACATAATATGATTTTGCAAATTTTGCAATGTGAATTATGCTGAATGTTTTGTTAACTTTAAGCTCAATATGCAATCCAAACAAAATAAAATCTGTAATTCACAACAAAGATCATGTATATCACTGTTGTCTCCAGAATAAATAGACCAGGGTTATCAAGTAAGTAAGTGAAGTAAAGAAAGTAAAGGAACGAAAGGAAGAAAATGAAAAGAAAAGAAAATTAAAGTAAAGTAAATTAAAGAAAAGTAAAATAAAGGAATGGAAAGGAATGGTAAGTAAAGGCATGGAAAGTAAAGTAAAATAAAGTAAAATAAAGTGAAGTAAAGAACGGGAATGGAAAGGAATGGAAAGTAAAGTAAAGGAAAGTAAAGTAAAATAAATTAAAGAAAACTAAAGTAAAGTAAAGTAAGTAAATATTTTATTATCGTGACATGTGCATATCTCTTACAAGAAGAAAATGTCCTAGCAACCGGCCCCGTTTGCCTATAAGTCACTAGAAATCATATAATAATAATCATCATTATGTATTTACTTATATTTTATGATTTGTTTGAGTCAATTTATAAATTACTGACAAACTTTAGATTTAATCATCTCTGTTATTACGAAAAATACCTATTATAAATGTCTATTTTTACATTCACAGAAATGATCTCGCACATGCACTTTCCATTTTATAAGTACAAGATACCATCAAATATTTCATAAATTGCAGACAGCCCACTTTAAATTCATTTGGCTTTTACACATTAGAATAATGCTAACTTAAATGCAGGTAGTTGAAAGTTAACTAAGATTGATTCATATATGCTATGGAAATATTAAAATATCAACTCCGTGGAGACGCAAAACATAATTAAACCATACGGGCAACTGTGTTATTAGCCAATAAGCCTAGAAATTTTTTAACGTGATTACAAGCAGTGGGCGTTGTATTTTAAAAAGTTTTTCCTTATTGCCAAATACCTGATCTAGTGGGGTAAATTTGTTTAAAAAAACAAAAACAAAAAAAAACCGTTTTGCATAAGGGAAAATATTAAATTCAATGTAATATGTAATTATCCTTATGCAATGTTGAGTGTAAAAGTTTAAGGGCTTCACATCGATATTGATATACTATTTAAATTATAACCATTTTCCTTTTTTCCTTAACTAAACACTTGCGATTTGTCATCATCATATGTATGGGATGCCTGCCATATTCTTGATGATGAATAAGTGTCACATGATCTCCCACGAACAGATTTAACATTTTATGATAAATGCAATCAAACATCGTATTTATCTCTGGGAATTTCTTGAGTAGTATTTCTCCAAAATAGTGTGTGTATGTATTAAATACTGTTAATAAGCAATCTTAATTTATTCATTTTATTTTATGTCAATATCGTCTTAGAAAAAAATGGTTATGGTTTTATTACAACAAAATAACATGAAGCAGTGAGCTTTAACCCCAGATAATATAAAACATGTGTCCAGATTATTGAAAAAGGGCTCCCTATGTTTCGTAAACATAATTTTTTTATGACTTTTACGAAAATTTAATACATAAATGCCACATGCTGTTTCATAAATTGTATTTTAAGGTTGTAAATAAATATACTATTACCCCTATAGTCACTAGGTATGTATATAATTAAATTAATTAATGTTCCATAAAATGACTTTTTATAACCTTTCCTATTTATTATCATATTTTAAAAAATAGTAATCCAAATTCACGAGAGTGTGACACGTGTCTTAAACTAGAACTTATATTGATAACATGTAAAACAATAATCATGAAATCACAAATTCGATCGTTTTTTTCAAATCTTGTATTTTGACATAATTCATAAATAAGAGGTTAAAATATAACACAAACATAAACGTTAATTCAAACTTATCATTCATTTCACACAATATGTTTAACAAATAAATAACATGAATGATACAGCTTCCTTTCTTTATATCAAAGTTTATTAAAATATAACTCATTACATTAGGTATAAATCAAAGCAATTATATAAACTACGCTACAATAGTTTGGCACGTAAAACATAGGTATATCTTCCAAAACATGTCAAAAACGCTTTATCATTTTGCAATATAAACTAATAAGAATGCATGCAATGTAAACAATAAATTATTATTTTGCATAGGTGTAGGATAAAGAAATATACGTAAATAAACATAAATATCATATAGTGAAACTTCGAGATCGATAAATTAATTTGAATATTTCATTACAATAAACACTTATTGCTATAATAAAAAATACGTTCTATTGCTGAATAAGGCTAATGTCAGTAAAATGCATCCATTCACACTGTCCAATGTAATGTTCACTAAATTTGATTGTAATGAATTTTACATACTCGTTTCCGTTCCTAAAAATATCTTTAATTCAATTGTTGTACATAAAATAAATCTTGTTACGCTCGTAGCTGTGTCATCTTTACAACACACTATCGTATCAATGTTCCGTAACATCTTTTTTTCTTAATTTGTCTTATTTCTTATTCTGAATCAATATCTTAAGATAATAAGACTTTCCGTACCTATAATACACCCGTACCATCGACTGTTAAAATGTAGTGCCGTTAGAACCTAATATAGTACCTAAGTTCCCTACATGTTGTTTTTATCCTGTTTGATGCTGTTCAGATAACATCCATCTATTAATAAATCTACAGTCTAGTTCAAGTTTTCTTTAGTGCTTTCTTATCTCAGTAGATATCCAGAGAAACTTGATTTTCCTCTACCGTGTATAGCATGGCTTCCCTCAGGCCATTGTAATGTCACGGCCACTTTGTCCCCTTTATTTAATCTTAAAATCGCGACTGCGTTTCCTTGATCCCACGTGGTAAAATGCTTTCCATCTTGTGAAAATCTATGATCACTGATTGCTGAAACAGCCACTTCACCATTACGGACAATACTTGCTTCAATATAATGTCCTCTTTCTGCAACAATGTCTGTGTTAAACGTATAAGTTCCATGTATAGGTGCCGTGAATACCCCAGTATGATGGTTGTATGCGTGACCAATGTTTGTTATGACATTGTTGAAGACTATTGTCTCTAACATTTTTACCGTAGCAGAAGGTTTCGTCAGTGTCGCATGAAATGCAACTTCCGGTTTGCGAATTCTTCGTCGGAAAATTGCTGAAAAAAAGTAAATATTTGTTTTACTATATAGTTTACTTACGTTTCCGCGGAACAAACATTGTATGCAATTGAAAAAAAAAACAAAAACAGTTGTTACTTTTAGTAAACTAGCACTTTTTGTTGTTATTCAACGTGTGCTATATATTACTTAAAATGTGTATTGCGAAATGTTACGTAAAACACAATAATGAAAAATTGATTACAACGTTTAATGATTTTATCTTTAACAAATGACATAAATATTGTTCTAAAACTTACCCCTTTTACTTATTTTATGATCTGTGTCGATTCCACTGCCAGTTTTTTCAACTTGATTCGATAGCATAACATGAGAAGATTTTTCCGACTCCTCTAATTTCGTAACTCTCTCTTCTAAAGCGGCAATATTGTTTTTTAATGAAGTAATTTCATCCTGGTAATTAACTAATATTGTTTTAAAAAACATTTTTCCATTATCCTTTGATTTTACATGGCCAAGATGTGTTCCTTTTGATAAATGTAACATTAAATATATCACGACTGAAAAGAACGCACGATTCATCCTGCGTGTGTATTTGCGTCTATTGAAACGTAAAATGTAATTGATCGTCTGCTGCAAGATATTTATACACTCCATATTAGAGGCGTGTTTCAAAATGTCATTCAAAATATAAAGCAAATAATCAATGTTGATTGAATTAGTCATATGTCATAAGACATGGTGCGTTCAATGACACGTATTCTCGATATATTTATTATCTTCTTGTGTAAAGACCACGAGTGTTTTACATTTCAACTTGATAACTTTAACGACTTCTCTAGCTCAGGTTATGTTAAGGCCTCAACAGACGGTAGGATTTAGTTGTACAACACTAATTAGGGATAAAATGTACAATTTTCAAAGCAATACAACACTTGCATCCAGACGGTAATTCTGCATTGTAGGAATCATCTCAGGTTTCCCTAAAAAATCCCTCCCAATTGATCCCTACATACTTTACTAACCTCAATTTTTAAAAAAAAATATTGTTAATTTTTAATGTGCAGCCTGACCGAGACTCAAACATGGGACCCTCGATATACCATACTGCAGTTCTACTGACTGAGCTATCCGACCGCCTACAAGCTACCTCCCCTGATTAGAGAACAGTTGAATACCGTGTCATAATCATTTTGGAACAATTTGGGATTCGAACATACCACAACTTTAGGTCTCCAGAAGAGTGTTTTCAACCTTTTTTTACCCCATATTTCTACCATGTTTACCTTTAAGCCCTAATTGCTCTGGAATTTCATTCATTACATCCATCATCAGGAGATAATTTGGTTATCTGTTACCTGTCATTGTGGGAGGTCTGTAGAAATCTGTACGACAAGATTTTCAAAATAGAACATGTCCTATCCCTTACATCTAGACTTAAGGTTTACGAAATCAAGAAATAGTAGCCTTCACACATGAAGATTTGCTTGTACATCTTTGCTTTAATTGGTGTTGTACTTAAAAATCCTACCGTCTGTTGAGGCCTTTACTCTCTTAAGTTTTAAACTTGACAACATTATCAATTATTAGAACAAGATTTACCCAAACCTGTTATTTCTATGCTATAATAAGTTTGCTGTTTATGATTGAAAAATAGCGAATTTGTACTGTAAGAGTATTTCAAAATCTTACTATCTCTTACGCATAAATGAAAATGGCAAAAAAATGCAGTTTAGTTGCTTATTATTGTTCATTGGAATAGAATGTATTTGCTACTGTTAGTAAAATACGAGAACTGCTAGAAATGTTACTGAATAAACATCATCTGTTATGAAATAGATACCAGAATTGCTTTAAATATAGTTGACCCTAAGAAGAAGTTTTTTTATAAGTTTAAAAGTATACGAAAATTTCATATTGCTTGTTGTACAAAATATTTAAGTAAAATATGTTTGTAGTGTCACCAATTATCTAAACCACTTTCAAATTATTATTGTATGGAAACAAAGGCATATCGTTTATGCCAAGTTTGCCAAATAAAATTGTCAACTACAATGGGCTGTGAGTCTTTGGAATTTTGTATGTAAAGCTGGGTTATCACTGCTTTTATCATCATCGTCATCATCATCATCAGTATTGTCATCAACATCAGTCGAATAAGCATAAATGTTACAATAACATTGTTGTTATGTGCGGTGATACCTAAGCGATATCATCCATAAAAAGGTACGACCGTACATTGTTCATGTAGTACTTGTTACCAAACATGTAGCGATCTCATTGCTGACATAAATTGTACAATCATAAAATGAAGTTGTGAATTACGTATACTGATTTAGGGAATGAATAGAACATTTCAATGACTTTTAAAACGATAAACAACGGCTAATATTTTTGGTTCATAGTAATTACATAAATAAAATTAGTTATCGTCTGTCAATTAAAGTGTATTAGCGGTATGATTTAAACAACTCACCATTTAGGCAATTCTTTAAGTTATTCAGATTTTATTATTAAATATTTAAACCTATATAGTCTGATCTAGTGTTAATTTATTTGGCAAAGGTTGTCTAATATTACCTTAATACTACTTTATGCAAAGGTGGATTAATAAATCATTTTGGATTAGTTTAGTTTAGTTGATTGTTTACATTATTATCATCATTGTTTATTTCAGAAATAAATAAGAAATTATTTTTCCTCAACAGTGCCCTCATCGTTAAATTAATTCTTAGTTTGGAATTGGGATCTGAAGAATTTTATAACAGGGCGTAGCAGGAGTGATATAATGCTGCGCATCCGAACAACAAAAGTGATTTTTATAAAAAGATAGAATCACTGCTTGCGATATATTATTTCGATTCTAACACGACATCAACAAAACCTACCTGTTATCAAGCTAAATTGTGCATAGTTATTTAAGCACAACTCATTTTCAATGTTTACGTCACAAGTCTAAATATAGATCGTAAACAGTGATTTTATCGCATATCTACACATCATTTTGGTACTTCAATTGGGCAATTGAGAAAACTACGGGTCTTGTTAAAATACCTGGCAGTGCTTGCATTTTACACAAACTTTGTTTATGCAAGGTTGGTTTTTTGTAAATTTCTTTTGTCATCCTATTGAACGACAACAATAATAGATTGCATGTTAACGTTTTGTTTTTTGTTTGTGTGTGTGTGTTTTTTGTTGTTGTTGTTTTTTACTATTTAACGTGTTCTTTTCTTTACACTATTATCACAATCTAATAGTGTTCGTTACGCTCGAATATTAAGCAATTATATTTGAATGATGAGTTTTGCTAGAGATTGTATCTTAGGGGGTTAATGGTAGCGTTCTTTCAAAAGTTAACATCTGTCAAAATCAAAGCTGCAATATTTTCAGTTTATCCATATTGTGCGAACATAAAAAAAAACATTTTCTATCATAATGCACTGGCCAATCGTAACTGCGGTTCATGAAGTAGATAGCGGTGATTTAACACTACTTGTAGTGTTCCCGACTATATATGGGTTGAAAAACTGCTGCATTTTGTTGATGCAGAAAAAAGTATATTCTGAAATAAGGCGTTGCATTTTGATACGCCTTCTTCTTAAGATGTTAAAAGATCAAATGTGTTTTATCCATCCCTAATAAAGGAGTTTCGATGATACATCTTCGATCAAATAAAATTATATTGAAAACAACTCATGCATATCCTCCTTGGTCAAAAATATTAAAAGGTGAATAGTTTAATGACGTCATATCTTTATTGAATGTAAAAGTTTTAATACAAGCGTTTTTATCCTCTGGTCTTGTTATTTTCCGGAGTAGCTGTATTAAAATTGTTTTTAAACCAGTTTAAGTTACAAAATCCTCCGCTTAATAGATATAGCTTACCCATAGTTTAATAAAGCAGCAGTTATGAAAAATAAGGACAAACTTGATTAGATTAAGTGTAAACGACACTAAGAATAAAGTTGTCTTAAATGGTATTTATACAACTTTTAATTATATGTCAAAACCGTTCAGACATTTCAAAAGGAAAATATACAATAGCTAAAATATTAAAAAATGCAATTTGTTTTCAAATCACCACCTGGTTTGTAAATATTATGCATACCTACTCTTACAGAAACTATATCGTACGTTTTATCCTTAATCAGACAATAGAAGTATATTTCTAAATTTAACCTTGTATGTAAGAGATGCGATGTTTCATAGAATACCTTAGATATAGTAGATATAATTGAAATAGATTAATAATTCATCCTTTATAGTTGAAAGGGACATGTTAAGATCTGATCTTGCAATTTATGTTAACATGCATTGTAAAATGTTTATATCTATATGACGATGTATAATTGTACAAATCTGTTCTGCTCTATTCTTAATAAATATATACGATTTATTTAAATTGCATCGACCGAGAGGAATGTTTGAATGAGGGTAACATAGGACTTTTTGGAATACTTCGTTATCTTATTTTCGTTTTTGATGTTTCTACTTCTTGCCGTAATCAATCAAATTTTTTGCCCTCAAATTTTATCAGCGCACCAATAAGCGCCACTTACAAGTTAAGCAAAACTTTGAGTCAAGTTGTTAAAAGAAAATGAAAAGACAAACACAAGATAACAGTTGTTTTATAGTAAAGTAAAGGTATTTTTATCGGGTTATTTTTTCAATTTATTTAATTTTTAATAATTATATTCGTGAAAGGTATTCGTCATACTTTGAATTTCACAGCACTTTGGCAAAGATACTATCCCAACCGTTCTCAATTACTTACATTTTTTTATATTAAAATTTATTTTAAATTGCGCCCATTAAATCAAATATTTCTCCCACCCACTTCAGTTAATTATGGTAGATATATAAATTAACTTATTTAATACGTGTTAAATATGCACGTTGTCAAAATTACTGCATACAAATTAGATTAAACATAACGTTTATCATTTAAATATAAACATCTCGTATAATGATATATAAATAGGTTGACAAAATATGTATAGTTCATTATTTCCGTATAGTATGTCTAAAGATTCAGTTAAATTTCATGTGTCAAAATACTTTTTTAACAAATTGACAAATAGTATAAAATCAACAGTTTCAATATCTTTTAAAAAGACCCTAAATCGATATTCATTATATAAATTTTAATGTACTTATTATTTTTTCTACAATTAAAATACTTTCTCATATAACACGAGATACACATCAAGGCTAACAACTAGATTCTGCTTAAATAGCTGCGTTACTCATCGTAAAATTGCAAATTGATGCGTTACAATTCAAAAGATTTAGTAAATCTCAATATCTATAATCTCAATAACATTCAACCGTAATATAAAGTTGATTCAATGGATGCATGAAAAACTGTATTAAAATTCTCATTTTTTTTATTCTTTTATATTATTAAACTGTATGTGCATTGTCTTGAGTGCTTTGCCTTTCAGACATTTTATATTGTATAAAAGATAATAATGTCTACTTTTAATAATTAATTAATTTGAGTCACTTCCAAATGTATTATACACATACATGAAGCATAGAATGAAAGATACATATGACCATTATGTAATAGAATTACAATAGACTTGGTATTAACATACATCTAACAATCACACAGCTTT